CCTTGTACACATGAAGTACAACTTCACGGTTTTTCAGACGCATCTGAAAAGGGATACGCTACTTGCGTATATTTTCGAGTTGTCGACTTAAACGGTGTTGTACATACTCATCTTTTACTAAGTAAAACTAAAGTTGCACCTTTAAAACGCCTCACAATTCCACGCCTCGAGCTGTGTGGTGCTGTACTACTGTCAAAACTCGTTGAAAAAATTTTAAATGCCTATCGCGCATTTGTATCTCTTGACAAGGTATACGTTTGGTGTGATTCATCAATTACACTCGCTTGGTTACGCTCACCACCGCACGAGTGGCGTACATACGTCTCCAATCGTATCACTGAGACTATAAACCGCGTGCTTGCCTCACAGTGGCATCATGTGCGTTCAGGGGATAACCCCGCGGATGCTGCTTCCCGTGGTGTACTCCCATCAGAGCTGAACCACCAACAATGGTTCAGTGGGCCTTCTTGGCTTCAACGGCCTCAGTCCGAATGGCCTATATCGAACATTGATGTTCATACAGACGAAGAGCGTCGCAAGCATGTTCTTACATCAAATTTTTTACCTAACACGCAATTCATGGAACGATTTTCATCGTTACCTAGAATGCTGCGCGTTATATCATTTTGTTTTCGGTTCTATCACAAATGCCGTAAAACAATGAACTACGATTCGTCACATATTACAGTCCACGAAACTAAGTTCGCTCTCAAACGAGTTATCAATCTTGTTCAACAAGAAAGTTTTGCTGAAGATATTCAACGTACCAAAAGCGATGAATTATCATCAAAACGCTTACGAAGGCTGAAACCTTTCCTTGATGATGACGGGATTCTCAGGGTCGGCGGCAGAATTAATCGTGCTAACATTCCTTATAATGCTAAGCATCAAATTCTTTTACCCAAACGACATCAATTTATAAACCTTTTAATCGATTTTTACCATGTGATTAATAAACATGTAGGTCCACAAACCTTACAATTTTTAATCACCCAGACTTACTGGATTTTATCTGCCCGAAATGCTGTTCGTATGCGCACTCGCCGCTGCGTGCGCTGTTTCCGTGCGCGTCCTATCATTCCACAGCCCCCGATGGCTTCGCTCCCAGCTGTAAGGATTAGTTCAATTCGCCCTTTTTTACATGTAGGTGTAGATTTCGCAGGACATTTTTATTTAAAAATGAATAAACTTAGGAACGCGAAACCTTTCAAGTCATACGTTTGCGTGTTTGTATGTATGTCTACGAAAGCCATACATTTAGAATTGGTCCCTGACTTATCAACCGAATCTTTTCTTAACGCTGTACGTCGTTTCATATCTAGGCGCGGTCTATGCACGGATATTTACTCCGATTGTGGTCGAAACTTCGTCGGATGCAATCGTTATCTCTCCGAACTGTACGAGTTCTTACGGAACGAAAATAACCAATCGTTTATTAACAAACAGCTAACTGATTTAGCTATAAGTTGGCATTTTAACCCCCCTTACGCCTCTCATTTTGGTGGCATCTTTGAAGCTGCTGTTAAAAGCATGAAAACACATCTTCACCGTGTTATTGAGCAACTTACATTAACTTATGACGAATTTAATTCGATTCTTTGTCAGATCGAAGCTGTCCTTAATTCAAGACCGCTTTGCATCCTTAGCAACGATCCCATGGATCCATTACCTCTTACACCCGGACATTTTTTAATCGGGGAACCATTGACTTCCTTACCGGAATTTGATTTCACTAACGACAATCCAAGTCGTCTCATTCGCTGGCAAATTATACAACAAGCCACTCAACACTTTTGAAAGCGTTGGAGCGTTGAGTATCTCCACCAACTTCAACAACGAAGTAAATGGTTCTGTGATAACTCTCACACACCCCTTCATGAGGGATCAGTAGTTGTGTTAGTAGATAATACACTACCATCATTACAATGGCGCTTGGCTCGCGTGCATCAGCTGCATCCAGGCGCGGATGGTGTTGCTCGTGTTGTCACAGTACGCATTGGTAACACTCTTTGCAAACGGCCTGTAGTAAAGGTCTGTCCTTTGCCTCTTGAATAGGCAACCGTAGTCTTAGTTTATTTATCTTATAAGCTAGGATAGTTGTTTCTTTTTATTAAAATAAGCAAGTTATTTTAAGGTCGGCGGCATGTTCCGTATTATTCATTAGTTGTAATATTACAAATTAGCACAAAGCATTCGTCTTAATTTATTATCATTTTGTTTCTATAATGCAATGCTTAGGCTCACAAGTCCTAAACAAAACGCACCACCACGCAAAACAAAACGTATGTCTTTGCGTTGTAAGTGCTGCCACCTATATACCACCAGAGAGAAGTTCTCCGATCGCCGCTCGCACAGCTGGCATATTATAAAAATTCAATAATAATCCGTTACCTAAAACCTAGCTAAAAACGCGACAAGTTGTTGATGAAAGCTTCCAGCGACCTAATTATCGAAGCAGCTACTTACTGGGGCCCCATATCAAGATACAAGAGAAGCGGTGTACTTGGTAAGTGAGCTGATCGCATTGCTTAACTAACTTTCTTACACACCTGTAAAAAGTAATAATTAAAACTAATTGGCCGTAGTTCCTTCTGTTTTAAAAGCTTTAAATTCAATTTCTATATTTGTTCTTTACTTATAGGTCAAATTAACAAAACTCTTCTAAACTTGAAACAATTTATTTAACATTTGACAATATATGTATGAATTCCTGTGACACATTATATGTCCCTCGACGTCACCTTTTTCTTGTTTAAAACCCAGAACACTACTTATTTTCCACACAGTTACAACCAACAAGTTTTTCTGTTGGATCATCCACAGAAATATAGTAAGTATTGAATACATCGCAGCCAATTGGTTAAAACAGCCGTTTAATTGGGCGGCTAGCCCTTTAATTGAATAGCGCCATTCACGGCTGCACGGCAAGTTTTCTAGATAAATAATTATGACATTTGGACCGTTCAACCAGACAGCTAATTTGAGAGCCACCAAAAGGTTAGTTTAATTTTCTGTTGTATGGATGAGCCTATCAAAATTAGCCAAAATGCGATTAACGACTACCATGCCAGAAGTATTCGATTATTTAAGTAGTATCATTAGAATAATGTTCATATTATTGTGTTTTAACATAATATCTTTATTATATTCGGATTACTTGTCTTAATCCGTTTTATAATAATTCCTATATTTTCTTCTCCTATTTATTGTCAATACAAAATTGTTACGCTGATTTAGTAACAACTTAGGTTTTCGTTATAATTTTCTATTTGTAAACAAAATTTATTTAATTTCTTATTCAGAACTGACAAATTTCTATAATTAGTTTGAGAAACTTCAAATTTGTTTGAGACTTAAATCTTCGTGTTATCAGGATATATAATAGTATTCCGTTTAACACAGTATTTGAACTCACTAGAACACACGATAAAATGAATACTAATTGACACCATTATATTAATATAAGCATGTTCCGCATCTTGCTTGTCAAAATAAGAAACAGACGATAGTTTCTAGCATGAAGTAAAAACACTTTATTTTTAAACATATTTATGAAGTATTAGCAAAATTTTTTTTCTTAATATTAAGATTTCCAGGTACTTACGAGAAAGCAAAATATCTAATTTGTATGCAACTTATTAACAAAACTGAATTTTCGAATTCAATTAAAATACATTATTTTTATCATCAACTAGGTTAAGGAAATGGTTTGATTCTTCATCTAAAGTTTTTATATGATCTTAAATCGCTATTATTTTATGTTACTTATGATGTTTACATAGTAAGATCAGAGTTTTTTATACTTTGTATTTAACATTTTGATGTAAAATGACCACGTAAATTCAGTTGTTAGTTACACATTATTTAAATTGGTAATAAGATTAAACGTCGTTACTTCTATAAGAGTTGGTGAGTTTTTTTCGTTCGATCTTCTTATAATTAGCCAAAAGACGCTCTGAACGGGTTGATAGGTAAAAAAAGGTTGATCATTTCAAAAGTATTTTGATTAACTTTATTTAAATAAAGATTATTTTGCCTCTGACTTTGAGCAAACAGAAAAATGTGTAAGTTGTTCTCAAAGAGCATTATAAATGGTCTTAATAATATATGTGAATAACTATGTTTAGTTGAAGTTTATCTGCTTTGTATATAATTTGATATTAGCAATTTGCTTCCCTCCTATTACTAATATTACACTATCGAAGCCCAAAAGTGCTTCTATGTGTAGATTAGTTAATTAAGATGTGAAAATCGCAAATAACATATATTGATTATGAGCAAACAAAATGCCTAACTAATCTTGTAAGTAAAGTTTTTTATAAAACTTTTTAAATTTAAAATACCAACCATACAAATCTGATATTTTGCCATGTTACATTATTTTTCGTAATTAGGTACATTGCCATGTAACATTATTTTACGGAATTAAAACTTAAGTGATTTTTAACTCAAGGTTTATATTGAGCAGTTTTTCAACAACCGTAAGTATTTAAGAAGAAACTGCCTGACCACACAATTTCATCCATACCTATTCCTCTTGACCTTTACTTGCAGTGCAAATTTTTAGTTCTTACCTATTTTTTTAAATAACATAATACAGCCTAAGAATCTCTATTTTTCAAGGTCCGAGTTCTAAAATCAAAATTTAATGCGTTTCAATTAGGTAATATAAATTACAATATATTAGATGTTAAACATAGATTTCATAACAAAATTAGAATATTTGATTATAGTGAATAATAAAATTAAAAGTTTATTTTATTAATTATATAATTTAATAACTGCAAATTCGCTAATATGTATATACCTGTCTAATTGTTATTTTAAACTTTGTAATTGAAATTTTGCTTATTATTTTGAACTCAAGAGCATAAACGCATAAACGCATAAAAACATACTTATTCCTATTGCTGTTTTGTTAGAACTGTAATTTATACCCACGTATATTAATTTTGAAAAAGAATACCATTTTAGAATATTATTAACTTTTGGAACATTACCTTTTCTGTACAACATCCGATTAATCTCACCACATTTGGGTGAGTTCCTAGATTCTTCATTACTATTAGTTCTTGAATTAAATCCGTCTTCTCTTTTTCGGATGCGTTTTCTTTGAGTGTTTTCACAGCTACAATTTGTTCACCTTTCTTGCCTGAAAAAAAAAAAATAAACAATGGAAATTTATTTTAAGGATAATATTTACATTAAATCATATATAGTGTTTAAGCAACAAATTCAATCGAATGTAATATTGTTATACGTGTAAAAACATTATTATTAATAGATAAAGATCGATAATTTTTTTATGATATAATAATGCATAACTTTTTTTTATAAAAAATAACATTTTGATATTTATTATTTATAAATTATCAACACAAAACAAAATATATAAAAACTTAATAAAATGTGCATAAAATTAGCAGCGATCTTTCTCCCATTTCGATCTGCTATCCAATTCAGGGACAGGTCATTCCATTATCCGTAAGTTACAATGGATTCTAATATCTTTAGTTCAAATCCGTATTTTATATGCTAAGTAGTGTATCTTAGTATTGCCATTGTTGCCAAATTCCGTATCTGTGAAAGTTAGTCAAATTGGCAAATATAATAAAAATTTTATTGTTCTAGAATTACATTTGAGATATTTTTAATTTATTAACTGTCTTATAGTGTTAATCAACGCATAAACTGTCAATAATATACATTCTTTCGGTTCTGTTACCAACAGTCAAACTAAGATATCAATTTTTTGTTTTGTCCTTAATAAATTTCAAATTTAATGACCAATAGAGTAAGAGAAACACAGTAAGGCTTCTGTGCTAGATTTGTCTTTTTAACCGAGTTACGTTTCCAAAGTTACATTCACAAAGACCCATATATGTTAATAGAATTGCCAACCCTAAACACGCTTCACTCCTTTTTCTCTTTGATTATAATAGACAAATGCATAATTGAGTATGCGGTCATTTTCATCATCACCGAATGTGATTGGAAATTTTCAATCCAAGTCTTGTTGGTGTTAATTAAAAACTGAATATTATAACATATGAAATATTAAAACGAAATAACACCATTTTAAGATTTAATGTTTTATTGGGTTTGAGAATTTATTCTCTGATTTTTTGGTCGCGGAATTTTTATTTGTATCAAATCTTACCATTAAAATTACTACCCTTAATCGATTATTCAAGTTATCTTTTCAAACTCAACTTTCCTTTGTTTCATTCCTTAATTTTCAAAGGTTTGAATAAGTTTCTAACTTAATTATATTTCTTTGTGTTATTCTTCAGATATTTTTAATGCTTATCGAACCGAGATAAAATTTTATTATAATATTAATTTTAGGAAACTTAAACATTGGCGCAAGGATCAAAAATTGGAATCTAACAAAAATAAAAGTTATTTTTTCCAAACAATCCTCCGCATCACTACACTACATAGTAACAGTAAGTTGTTACATTAAATATTAATCATACCTTGCCTATAGGCTTTGTTATTACAAGAGTTTCTTATTAGTTTCGTTATTATTAATAAGATTTTCAATCTTAATGTAGCAAAAATATCTTTCATGCAGCGAAATTCGAAATTTGATCATATCTTATATACAAATAGTGAAAACTATATCCGAGACGAAATGTTCCTTATGAAACATTGAAACTCCTTTAAAAAAAAAGTAATGTAGTCAACCAGTTGGCTAAGTATATATAGAACTTTGTTAGAATTCAAGATGCTTGCTAAAAAGGGGACTGCTATCATGTACCATATATTTTACGTTTTTTATTATCGGATACAGTGACTTTGTGTGTCGAGAATAGGTGTAAGTTAGTGGTGACATAGTGAACAAATAACATATATCTGGAAATAATACCCGCCAGTACAGTTTAAAATTATTTGCAGAAATTTGTCATATTATGGTAACCTGATAAGCAGCCGTGTTACAGAGTCATCACATAGTTTGACGATAATTTCTGTTGACTTAATATCAACCCAGAAGACTTGTATCTTCAAATATATTAGTCATCATCATCACCAGCTTATTAATGTAACTGCTGGGGCTCAGGCCTTCCCTATAGATGAAATCGAATCAAATCAAATAGGGAGAATGGGCTATGACCCACCACGCGGGTCCAGTGCGTATTGGTGGTATTAATGATCACAGTTGCAGCCAAGACCGATGGCTTAACATGCCTTTCAAAGTGTGGGGATAAAAAGTTTTTGGTCACTCATCTTTTGACCGACCATTGCGAAAGTTGCTTAACAACAGTATTGCCGACCGAGCGCGTTTGCGCGATCAAACCCCTCAAATATATTGCGACAGAAAACCAAAAAGATAATGTAATTTAAATTTACACGACATATTTTTCATTGTCTCGAGTTAGATCAATAAGTAACATAAACTAATGTAGTTCAAATATTTCGTTAAAAATCTTGAAAAAGGTTACCTACTAATTAAGTACATCCTTTGAAGTTAAACTTTGGTGAGCAATTATTTGTAACCTAGACTCTGAGGTCCGAATCAAACAAAGACAAGAAGGCAAGTGTAACCTCTAAAAGTACCAAGTACCAGCTGCCAAGGGACCAACTTCTCTCGTTCGAATCATCCTTTGTGCATATTTACGTTCCGTTCGTCAACAGTGTGCTTGAGAAGTATTTGTAGCTATCGTAAATGAGTTAGCACACCGACTCACTGACAATGAGAACTGACATCCATATTAGAGCAATTTTTAATCAATTCAATTTTCAGTCGGACGTAACGTATTTTTAATAAAATAAAAATATTAATTTTCTCTTCGTTACATAGTATTGTAATGATGAAGTCGCGTTAACAACTACGCTGGTTATAAGAGTAAAACTGTGTCATACAGTTTTACTCTTATAACCATATCTTAGTTAGCATCTTCATCCGGAAATAATGATACAGACACTTGTTTAATTAAAGATATACTAAGAAGATCTTATGAAGATCTTTGATTAAGATTATTTGGTATGTTCTTGACGAAGCGCCCACGTGCTTGGCAGCGCCAAGTCAAAACATAACGGTCGGATAAACCTTAGTCTCTTCACTCGCTATAGAAATATGCACATATTTCGGAATTGACTTTTGATTTTAAATATTTCTTAAACTCAAAGTATTTCTATATAAACATTCTAAAGAGGAAACATTTCATTGTTTATGTACAACGAAACTAATAAATCGATCTTAAAAAATATTTTATCTACTAGAATACGTGGATAACGTAAGTTATAATAAAAGCGGGTGATGTCGCGGACAAACAGCTAGTTTAGTATGTAAATCAAAATCCAAATGTCTTGTTTTGTCTTGATCTGTAAGACTCGTTTGAGCCCAAAAATTATGCATATCGTTTATAACTACACGTCGGGGCATAATATATTATAAAGAACCTGTAATAAACTTGGCAAGGGCTGTTTTTCTTCACTACACGTCCATACTTGGACCATTTGCTAAACTAGTTTTCACTTCAAATAACACAGTCATTCCTAACTTTCTCAATGCTATACTAGTAGTAACGTCGGTAAAGTCACGACTGCCATTTATTAAGATGTTAAACGATTCGATTCGTTCTTTTTTTTATGAACGCGTGTGTACTTTATCGAACTGAATTCAATCGTGCGAAGTAAATATTTTATTTATGAGTTCATATGATATTACCAAGCGATCTCAAGTGATTTTTGATAATGAACAGCTTTGCTGCTTATAATACAGCGTTGAACGGAGCCTCCATCACAGCTATCACAATTTTAGAGGTTTAAATCAAATAAAACCTTTATTATCTTCGAAGATGATAACAGAAACATTGTTTGCGTTCTGTGTTACCAGAATTTTGTATAATTATAGAAGATAATTCACAAATATATCTGTTCATGTTCTGTCATGTACTTATCAACTGTATAACTTCACGATAGCTATACTATTATGTTGAAAAACCACCTCGAACTCGACGTCTTCAATGAATTAAATCGTTAAAAAGTGCTGTTGCTTGACGTCGAATTTATAGCACTAAGGTAGCATTGCAGATCCCTTTTGGTGTTTCAAGAGTAGGTTAAGTAGTTTTATCTACACTTAAATTGAAAAATTCGAATTATGAATTCAAAGACGTTTCTATAAAGACGCACTTTATAAACGCCTATACATAAAATTAAAAAAAAAACTCATTATAGTACCGCCAACTGTATCATAATAGTTATTTAAGATACGAGTGCGGAAAGTAAGGTTTTACGAATAAGGGCCGAATTGAAAACACGAGCGTAGCGAGGGTTTTCATTGACACGAATTTAAAAAACCTTTTACGCTCAAGTTTCTTACAACATTTTTCAAAGCTTTTTGCGAGGAAATAAAACAAATATATAGGTTAATAAAACTAAGTATGTATTAAAGGTAAATTATTTGTTAAAATTTGTTTTCGTGTCATACATTTTTATTTGTAAATATTCGTTCTAAGCTCCTTGAAATACTTTTGCTTCTAAATTTTGACATATTTTCATCAATTTCTTTTTTTAATTTCTTTGGTGCTCGGCCAAAAAAAATAGTACTTTTAAGCACGTGTGCAGTAAAGGATTTCAGTACATTTTTATTTTATACGTTTTTAAAGACTCACTTTCAGTGTTTACAATGGATTAAAAAATAGTGCTTTATGAGCAACTGCATTGAAAAACTCATTACAGTACCGCTATCTTTTTTTATTCATTAAACTCTGTGGTTTTAGGCTGTTGTGTAGTTTGAACTTAATTTAACGCGTTTCCCATAAAATTTTTTGCCGATCGTGTTTTTGTATTCGGGATTCCAAAAAATTACTTCTTTGTAACCTGCCTACTTTATTTAATTTCATTCTTTATTTTTCCTATGAGTGAAGATAAATTAGTGTATGAAACTGCATATAACTTGGGTATTAAAACACTTGAGTCATACTATTATCGCATTCTGCTTCGATAAACAGACTCTCGTGTTTTAATACCCCTTCTTATATCAAATTGATAATAGGGATAACGACTAATTTATGTTTATTTGTCCGTCAGGTAGTTTGTTGAAAAATATTTAACACGTATTTTTTTCGTAATAATTAAATTATGGCAATACCAAGGAATTGAAATGTCACATGACGTCACGCTTTTGTTGATTTTCTACAAAACTGTAATGTAGCGAGCCCCCACTCCTCTAATTCATTGCCTGCTATCTAAGCTATATCGTGTTAAATTGAAGTAAAAAAATACATATCTAATATTTTTTACTATCGGCCTAAATATTTTTTTTTTTGCCCAGTCGTCCCTATTGATAAATGGCAAAAAAGTCTTATAGGTATACGAATCGTGCATTCTAACGATGCATTCTCACTGCGTATAAATTTGAAAACTAAAATAAAAAACACGACGGCCAAAATCGAACTAGAATGAAAGATAGAATTTGTATGGTTAGTTATGATTTATTTAAACAAATTCTCAATGCAGTCGAAGGATTGTTCTGCGAAACATTTGTAATCTAAGAGGTCCCCGACTGCCATGATGATTTTCTTTAACTAAATCATAATACAATTTGTTTCTTTTATTTTTAGTTAAATTTTGGCAGGCGTATTATAAAGACAACAATAGTAACTAAAACTACTTATTTAAACTATGTCTTAAAATAATACCTATACTAAATAAAAAATATCTCCCAGATCATTACCAACAGGTAAGGTACCCAGAAGACTGCGAGCGTTTCCTCTTTGAATAGCTAAACTAATACTTTAGGCGAGGTACAAACCAGCCTTCTGATCACCTGACCTGTCAAAAAGTTTCTTTTTAACTCTTGATAAAGACGATGGGCTTCAGGGCCCCACGGACCCATCGTTTCGCCCCAAACGCCTCAAATATGTAGGTATTACTTATACCTGAATAATTTATACGCCACAAGACACGTTCGTGGAAGATGAGTTGGCGTTTTTTATTTTTTTTATTATTTCTTATAGTGTAATATAAATATTTATATTAAAGTTACACTAAAATACGTGTTCTTATTACTAGTTACGAGTAGAATATTACTTATCATTGCTAAACAATGTGGTAATAATAAGAAGACCTGTTTTGAATAGTTCAATATTTCTACCACTGTTCAAAAATTCAAGCAACTAAATAAGAGAATATTCGTATGCAAACCACGGCTGAGCCATTTCTAGGATCGCGTAATTTAGATAACATCAGCTGTTATAAAGGCGTCGACTATTATTAAGGCGAGAATATTTACTGTGTCTGGTAGATTCATGTAACTTCGCTGTGTATAATTTTGTTTGCAAACAAATCAAACTTATATTACCGTACAATTTTATTGACATAAATTTGTACGGTAATAAATTTATTTATACAAGGTGTTGGCATCTCTAGAATAAAAAAGAATCGAGCGCATGAAGTAAATACTATACAAACCGATCAAGCATGTTACTACTACTATAATCTACAGTCCTCTCACCTCAAATTACGGACATGTAACTGGGACTATTAGTAATTTATACCCTCTGTACTTCCACATACAGGTATATCAAATTTTAGAAAGATCGTGCATATTTATGTCACGAGCACTTGCAATATAAGTACTTATTTGGGAGGATATATGGGCATTTACTTTTACAAGCAGACACATTAAATTGTATTTAATAACGGATTGGTTGAGTAGAATGTGTACCATGCTTCTAACAAAATTTCTTGATCCGACACCAGATTTTGATTAGTAATTTGTATAATGGTTATATATATATGTATATATATCTATTATTGTATAAATTCTTGTATATGTATATATATATATTATATATTTAGATATAGTTCTTATGTTGATATGATATCCCAACAAATGTGTAATGTACATTCGTTATGTCTGTCGCCTCTTTAACTTTAAGTTTTTACTAAATTTACTGGTAGACTGGTAGAGAATGCCTATTTGGCATTAAGTCCGCCATTTGTCTATTTCTTTAGGCAAATAAGATTAAATAAATAAATAAATAATGTCTTGATTCTGTCCTTTGAGGAATTCAAGATCATTCAGATTGAACAGGCTTTCAAAATGGAATAAAAGTCTAATACACGATAACCAGTCAGCTGTGAAGATCGTCGACTTAGATTTGTCTTTACAGAATAGCTTACATAATACTTTTTCTTATAAAATAATCCAACAAAGGGCGCTTAATAAATTCCACTTTTTTGTTCAAAGATAAATTGAATACATTGTTCCTTCTAAACAAAAAATACAAGCTTTGTGAGCGTGGATTTTTTTTGTCAAATTAAAGCACATTACTACTGAAGCTGACAATGAAAAGGATTTATTATACAAATATGGCATTGCTTTTAAAATAGGTAACCTTTCACAAAAACAAAAATTATTTTATACAGACGCAAACATAAACATTTATCACATTTAGTTGAACTGCGTTTGACAGGAAGATATCGCCTTTTTCAATCGCCCTATCCTTGTTTATCACTCAAAACCATTATTTGCTAGAAAGAGAATAATAGTTCATGTCCGATATCTTCGATATCCGCTGCGAATCTTCGAGGTAATAGGCAGCACGATATCTTTCTCGTTTTAGAAAATGGCAATTATGAGCGACAGAAAAGGAATCGTATACTTGAGAAAAATATCAGAATTAAAAACGCTAAAGTCAAAAAATAATAATAGAAAAACATCAGTTATAGTAAGAACCAATCAAAATATACATAATAAATCAAATAAAATATAACTGAAAACACGTCTCTAAAGAAGCCAGCGAAGCTATTGTCATCAATATCTATTTAAATAAAAAAATATAGTATGTACGCGCATTACTGCATAACGAATGCACAAATTAGATAAATATTTGTTATTATGTTGTTATTATGCTACAAAGTTTGTTTAAGAACGAAAAGACGTATTTTTCATTTCTTTTCCCTTGCATACCCGAGGCGGGCAGCTATATTTTAATATTTCTGTGTATGAGGGACTAATCGTCAATTCCATATACTTTAGTAGGGCATTTAAATATCATTCCTTTTCACTTCACCGTAGTCAGGTAACGAATGGAAGTCATCCACGGATTTGAAGAAGACAAGTAAGGAAACTTTTAGAACACCAGCTTTATTTTTCGGTCTGTTACTAGGGCGAGCGAAAAAACAAACAGTGACCCAAAATATTATGTACTAGCTGTAACCCGCGGCTTCGCTATACTGTAGTCTTAAGCTAATCTTATTTAAAAATCTACCACCTTTATATATCATTATCATTAATTTATCAGCGTGTTCACTGCTGGGGCATAGGCCTGCCCTATAGATAGAACCAAATAAGAAAAATCTTCCGATGTTTCTGAACATAATGGGCATGTCTTTATAGAAAGTTGCCCTTAACAAACAAATGTTTTATTTGAAATAATAGTCACAAACAGCGGTTACAGCGTAAATACATAAGGGTAAAGAATGAAAATAATATATTAGAAATACTTAAGCTGCCTAAAAACAAAGAACAACTCACTCCAACTATCAATAAACAATACAAATCAAAAATATAAAAAAGTGAATCAATAAAAAAGGTTAGCAACAAAAGTCCTATACTAAGTCATTCAATGATTACGCCGTCACTTTGCTTGGATATAAAATCTTGATATTTGACTTCTGTGCCTATTCTGGACTTTCACATATAGGCTTTCATTTCAAGGGTTTAACACAGTCTGGTGCTTTGAATGTGCAAGATTTTACGCCTGATCTTCATATCAACTTGGCGGTCAGCTCGTTCTTGCTTTCTTATTAAAGCGTTTTCAGAGATTTTAGTGCGTGATGCCAAATTTAAGATATAACTATCTCCTACCATTAGTGATTTATTTCAAGTTTTTTTTTATTTGTCATTCATAATAATTATTGGTAGTTTAGTACATTTTTTGCAAACATAATTTAACACCCCTCGGTTATATATTAAAATATTTCGTTAATAATAACTCTTAAATGATTTTGTCGTGCGATGAAGAACTCTCTTTTAAAAAATATATTATTCATAAAAAGCGAGCAAGCGCAAGTCAGACATATGCACGACGACTTCTGTACCATCCACAAACAAAAGTATAAGGGTTCCTTGTTGACTATGGAACCGCAAAATCGAAAATGAACGCGACTTTGTTTAAAAAAATTCAAAAAAAAAAAAATCAAGCCTACATAAACAACTGAAATCATTTAATAATGGACATATCATATAATCACAATGACAAATTGAATCGTAAACAATGATTACTATGGTAACGATTTAATGCCCTATACGAACTTCCACTTCCATTTTCATCCCATTATGTGATTTTTTCCGCTATAAAATATAATATAGACATATACTGCTGAAAACTGTTTTTAAGAACTTTTAAAGGGAAGTTATTTTGTAATACAAAACTTTTGCATAACTTTCACAGTTTATGCAGCGCACGCAAGGAAAGCATTAAAACGTTAAATATTATCCCGGTTAAGTTTCAACATTTTTCATTGCTGCTCCACTCCTTTAGCCTTCCTCGATAAATGGACTGTTCAACACAAAAAAAAAAAAATTCATTCCCGTATTTTCTGAGATTATAGAGTTTGACCAACCAAAAAACAAACAAACTCTTCAGCTTTATTATTAGTGTAGCGCTGAAAGGAAACGATACGTAGTTTTATTGTACGACACGCGATAGACACCTTGTAGGTCGCTGAACTATTCATTGCCTATATGAAAAAACGCAGTAGGTACTCTGCGGAAATTATACAGAGCTAGAGAACAATGTTTCTTCGTTTTTTCGCCTGCCCTAAAAACATATTAATGGCACCAACTTATCTCTCTGTTTCGAAGTTGACCCCTTTTTGTGCTTAATTGAGTAGATCCCCTAAAATGACGTAGCTATTCATAATACAGTTATGGAGTGGGTAACTCACCATCTATGTCTATAGCCTGAGCTCGAAACACTTGACCAAATGCGCCCTCTCCGATAATGTTGAACACTCTTAGACGATGACGGGGAAACTCCCATTCATCCGAAGGCTCCTCTTTTGTAATTGTGGTTTCATCAGACAGCTGCAAAGCCAAAATACATTTCAATTGAGACATTATAAGCTAAAGCTCCCATTAAGTATGCAAATAAATGAGTGCTTTTATTGGCTAGTAACTACAGACGATTTAATCTATTGACAAAAAATCCTACTCACTCTGTTTTAATATAGTGACATTTACTGATTTTTATTTAATAGCATATTCATTAGAACGAGTCATTTAATTATACATACTTGACAAAATTCAATGAAAATACGATTATTGCGTTTTCTAGGCATTTTTATTATTTTCCTTTTTTATTTAAACTATGAAAATATTTACGTTTATATAAAGCTAACTAGTTAAATAAATCGATTCGTTTATTAAAGTGATCATTTACTAACGAGTAGGATTAGTTTTTTTTTTTTATTTAAAGTACCTACATTCATAATATCTACACTATTATTCATAATTATTGATTAGAGATTAAAGATTTATGATTCAATCACGAATATATCCAATATTCATAACCAAAACCGCTGATTAAAAACTTATAATCTCTTCTAGATAGAAAATGGAGATATCGGGATCTTGGTTCATATAAAATACGAATGAATATTTGTTGAAAAAACGATTTACTCGTTCGTATGAATTATATTACTACCATACCGCAAAGAGAATATTACCACTATGCCGCACTTAGAATCTTATGAGAATCTTCAATATAAACTGATATTTTTATATTATAAGATTTATTTTACATTCTATACTAAGATCGACTTTGAAACTCCTAAGACCCTAAGAATAAAAGAGAATTTTGTTTAGCATTTATTGAACACACAAATTCTTTGATACATCTACTGCTTATGAATTTCTTATCATGATAACAATACTACATCTATTTCTGCAGTTAATTTTATGCAAATTAGTCGTGCTATTATACCTATATTGTGGAAATTAGCGTTAAAAGCTTACAGTGTTATTAATAAACAAGGTTTACGCTGAAATTAATTTACGCTGAGACTGCACTTAGTATTAGTCTAGTACGAGGTTCTAGAAGAGTAATATTTACTCCTACAAGGTAGTAGTTTTTGTTTTCCCTGTATATATGAATTTGGTCTAATACTAAGATTGCAATTTTAGAGTAAATTTACTCTGACATTAAGAATATTTATTAGTAGCACTGTTAGGGGTTAATATTTGAGCGAAATAAAAAAAAACAAATAAAATCACCTTAATGGCTTTTCTAAGATTATGATTAAGTAACCATATTAAATTCAAACCTTTCATACTAAGTAAAAATACAATGAGTTATCACTATAAAAAATTAGATAATGAATAAATCATGTTAATTTATTAGTTTATTAGCTTGTGACACACACAGTATAATCCTCAAAGAATAAAAAAAAATCAAAGCAATTTTTTTCATGAGATGATCATTAACGTTATAGTTAAATATTAACGGTTAAAAAATGAAAAATGAATAATGAGCGAAAATTTGAATATTGGAGGCCATACAACTGACCTGCAAATGGTTGTTGTCCCAGCATTCATAACGATTGGAGTAAGTCCGCGGTCGGTTCCACAAGTTTACCGATGAGTCTTGGAGGACTATACCACTCGAGTCTTTGCTCTGAGAACGACGAAGATCTTGTTATATAGATCAACTGGCACTTCATTTAAACAATTATATAAATCAAACAATAAGATAATATAAATAAAACCCCACATTCCTGTGTGTTTTTCCCCACGTTCAAATTGCTTTATTAATGAAAGTAAATATGGATTTACTTAATGACTTATTTAGTAATTTTTAATAACCGAAATTACAGGTGAAATTAAAAATACGCTTAAAGTTGTCGAGAAAACTAGGAGAGATACTTACCAATAATTTGGTGGGTATATTTTTTAACCGACTTCATTAATATTTACTCGACAACTACTAAGTCTGTTGTAAAATCCTTTTTTAAAAATAATTACTATGACTATTAATATTGAGCACCATTGAATTTTAAAGTCATTTTTATAGCGACTAAAATCAGTTTATATTTTAGTAATACTTAGTATCCACTAGCAAGAACATTTGCCCAAGCAACTTATAACGTGTAAACGCTCATGCAAGGGACCTTTTGTAAGTTTCGATACTAAACTTGCTGCAAGACCCACATGTATAGCCGATAGAAAAATTTCATGAGTGAAAGACAATCATTAGTTCACTTCTGCAAGAAAGTACGGTAGTTACTTGATAGTGGAAACTCCGCAAAAATGTTTTTTACCAGCTTATTTTATTTAATTGCGATCTATTTTTTCACAACCAACTTAGTATTAGTGCTTGTTACTTTATGCATCCTTTTTAACCATAGTTAATAGAAAATATTTTTTAGTTTACTCACCATGTCATCCTTTTTGCTTTTCGTCTTAGTTGAACTGTTATTTTTCTTCCAAACAAATAATATTACTGCAGCCACAATAACCACAAGGCCACCAATAGCAATCACAGGTATAACTGTTAATGGGACGTCGCTTCCTAGTGAAGATTCTTCAGTGGCATCTGATACATTCTTGTTTTCATCAATGTTAACTGTTTTCATCGTGCTATGTTCTTGAGGGATATTTTCTGGTTTTTTGTTTGGACTTAGCGTTGTGACTATTGTTGTATCAGGTACTGTTGTGATTTCTTCTATAAGAGTTTCGGTCGCTTTGGTTGAGCTTTGCGTTGTACTTTGGTAATCTGGTGGAGGCAGCGGTGGTATATGATAGTTCGGCCATGGTGGTGGAGGATGGGGTATCGGTCGCTGTCCCAAATTATCTGTAATTGTAGCTAACACTTCGGTGCGTTGCGGTATGAAACCGTCGAATGCCGTCACCCATAGTGAGTAGGAACAGTTTTCCTAAAACAAAATCAAATATGATTATTTTACTTCTTTGACGACGGCTTCCGTGAACGAGTTTGTCTTTCACACATTTCAAGGAGTCGTCATCTCTAACTTCTTGCATTCAATTTCTTGTCGGGCTCATCTAGAAAATGATATTTTCTATTTATTCCAAGTGATTCAAGTCAAGAGCAGGAAATGCACAACTGGGGAATCTTCCGCCCTTAGGGTGTTCGTTGTTTCCGATTTACATAATACAAGTGCTTTAGCTACTTAACTTAGGGTCTGAGCAATGTATGTAATGTTTTCTTATATTTGTCATTTAGAGTCTCAAGTATTTCAGTTACATAATGCAAATAAATAAATATAAGGTTTTAGCTACCTTAGATAGAAATGTAGTCACATATTCAAACTCCAAATTGTGTTATGTAAATTTGTAATAACGAAATTACCACAACATCTAGACCTAAGATGATATAGACAAGATTGTATTCAACATCAACCCAACTAGAATTTGTACCTGGAACTTCAGAGACTGCGATGCCTTAAATCTAGCATGTGAAGCACTCGACTGATTAATAAATTGAAATTTAACTTAAGATGAACAATATCAGGAATTTTGATTCAGCCGATATCGTTGCGCAAACGTCCATTTTTAATAGATCATCGTTCTAAAATTGTTCTTTTTTCAACTCCAGGTTATAAATTATCTTCATAAATAATACAATATTACTTATTAATAAGGTTGCCTGGAAGAAATTTCTTTTTAGCAATAAGGCCGCCAATTGTACTATTCTGTTAAATTTATTATTTATTTGTTCATTCACTTATGGTGTGTACAATAAAGAGTATTTCATTCATTCATTCAATATTACTCCCTTTTGATCAAAATGGCTTATAATGATATTACTTAATCTTCAATTTTGTCTTAAAACATTAAGCAAGTAACAGTCTTTATTTCTCAATACTGTGTCACTTAAAAATTAATTGTAAGCAACAATAGGCTTATAAAAAACTTATAATTAACTTGCAATATATGTTTGAAATATGTATGTTCGTCAAATTGCACAACAGTTCTTTAAAGCTGCAATAATTCTCAACCGGTGAAACCAAAATTTCACATATGCGTTTAGTTTAGAAGACAATAGTAGCTAATTTACGTTGATTTATGCCAAATGGTCTCTGGTGAAGTAGCGTGTAAATATTAAATCAGAATGATCACCTTATCTTTAAGCGTGTCGTTGACAGTCACGACGCCCGTATCAGGGTCTATAGTGAATGGAGCCGGTGGCCCGGTGGTATCGAGTCCAAAAGTCACATTCTGGTTCCAGGTCCTCTCGCGGTGAACTCTGGTGACAACCGAGCCAACAGGATCGGTGGACATCACGAACCAGTTGCGATCCACCCTAATGATAGCTGGGATGTTGAAGCCAGGTATTTGAGCCGATCCTGGAAGGAACAATCAGGATTCGTTTAAGGATAAAGAGATATCAATTATCACATATTCTAATGATCTACTAGTACAAGACGTTAGGGCTTTATTTCTAATGCCGAATTCTGCTTGTCAACGAACGAAAATTTGGAAAACTCCGAATCATTCGTTTTACATTTTGAAACTCATATCTGTGCATGAAAGGCAATTTCACGCCCATCACCGCCTGTTGTATCATAAATTGTGAAAAAATTATGTTTTTTGGATTCATATTAAAGTTTCGAAAATAGACAAAATTTAATTTTCGGAGAATCAAAGTAGACCTTCCGATCCACCTTGAGGATGTTTCGTAATCCAAAATCATATGATCCAAGATTTCAAAACCAGATTGCTTACTACGAAAACGGAATAACATTTAGTTTTACCTTATTCTCGAGTTAGTAATAGAACAAACATTGACTAATTATCTTAATTATATTTATTTTTGTGTCTTGTGTTGAAAAATGATGTCCTGGATATGATTATCCATCATTGATATTTAAACTATAAAAAATCAACTCAAACACTCGAGACAGGAGCAGACAGAAGAAGGTCAAGAATTCAAATCGCTTTAAAGATAAATACGTAATCGATAATATATTACTTTTAATAGCCACTTAAATTCCCCGAATGATTTGGTATGGATAAATAAGTGAGTACAAAACTTAAAAAATCTGATGGTAGGGAACAAATTTTGAATGTTATCCCGCCTATCGGTTATAAAAATCGCTAATAAGGACAAATATCCTTATTAACGCTGAATTAGAGCTCATCAAAATTATAAAAATAGTAAACTTGCTCTTCAGTACTAAAATTCAGAAACTATGAAAGTATCAAATATTACTCTAATATAATACGAATTCAGGGACAAACTTAACTGGGGTAAATTGACCACGACCTAAGCCGTTTGGAACAACGACATAAGTCGCGGTCAATTTGGCAATATTAAATTAATTGTTATGGTGATGTAACTATAAATTTACGGTTCTCGGATTTCTCCTTTTACGCGTGTTTTAAGACATTGGATTTATCGATAGGATTACTAAGAAGAATGTGTATTTCGACTTATTATATATTTGTCAGTATTGTATACAGTCTTATAAACACCACGGATCTACCAGAGAAATAAATTACCTTCTACCTTTAAAAAAATTGCACCAACTATGAATCTTCCACGCTTAAGCCATGTTCTGTCAGTAAATAGAGCGCAATAATACAAACTTCTTTTGATACGCTCATCTGATAGTTTGCCAAATGTTTTAGAGTGTGTTTTTTACCAACATCACAACACTGAACATACTCTAGGTTCAAAGTAACGCGCAAAACCAAAATTGTTCTTCAGTGCAAAATTTACCTTTTAGATTTTCGAAAATTAATTCGTATGAACATCCATGGTAACCGTAAGTCGGTGAATACGGCAGTAAGATATTTATCGAAAAATTAAAATGCTTTTCAGCTTGAAGAACCATTTTGGTTTTGCGGATTACTACGTATGCGCTGAACGGCGTCGATAGATGGATTGACGAATCGTGGTTTGAATGTGCAATATTTAGAGTTGATGTAAATCTGACGTTAGATCCGTCGCAAAACGTCAAAACTAACATTAAAAATGATGACTAAATTTTGGTTTGTTTGTCTGTCAGGTAGATTATTGAAGAATATTAAACACGCATTTTATGATATATTGCGTAATCAATAAATTACGGTGATACATTGAGTTAAAATGTCACATGAAGCCATGCTTTGTATATATGTATTTTCTATAAAGCTGTGACGTAGCGAGCCCCCACACCTCGACTTTAATGCCTATTATCTAACTATATCTTGTTCAGTTGAAGGAAAAAAAAAATACTTATCTAAAAATTTTGTATTGTTTGATTAAAAAAAAGAAATTCTATTAAATTTCTTTTGCGCTGACCTTTTTTCGTTGTTGCTAAAGTTGACTGGCTTATATTTATTTTATACTAGCTGACCCGACAGACTTCGTCCTGTCAAAAAGATTTGTAATGTGGCAGTTTTTTTGCCTACGTATTTAAAAAAATTCTCCTGAACAGAACCGTCACCCTGGTGATAGGGCGTTGTGAATAAAAAATAATTAAATAAAACATATATAAGGATTTAAAAGTAAGTAATCGCTTTATTGTTAATCATGTGAATCGTAATTATTATTGCAATGTATTAATAGTAATAGTATTAAATATAGAAAAAAGAGATTTTTATGATCATAAAAACACATTACACACAACAGCATTATAAAAGTAAACTATTCGAATTAAAAAAATATATAAACATTCTCAAGGAAAAATGCTGGAAGAATCCATCTACCTGTACCCCGGAATGGGACTCGAACCCATTCGCGATCCAGGGACTGCTCTAACCAATGAGCTATCTAGGACCCAACAGCTTTGCTACTACAGAGCGTATTTTCATCAATGTTCCGGCAATACATGTAATGACGTGGAAACTGATGCATTTTATCTCGCGTGCCGAAACTAATACAAAAGAAACGCGAGTTTCGGAACGCGACATTAAACCCCTCCAACTATGTATTCTGTGCTCCAACGCACACACGCACATTGTTTTGATAGATAATATGATCTTTGACGTTAGGAACACACCTACATTGCTTAGACAACAGTGAGTGCTTGTAATTTAATATGAACTTTATACCATAGCAATAAAGCTCAAATTGACTACGTTTTAGTTACAAATCATTTGTATGGGAAAAAGAAAAGGGCTATTTTTAGGGTTTTTCCAGCAATAATTCTAATTTTTCTCGCCGTAAAAACCATCCTTGAACTTCAACGAACATTTTAAAAAAAGATTTGGCCAAATTGGTCGAGGCGTTGTTGAGTTATGCGCTTACCAACACATTTTGCGATTCATTTTTATATATATAGATGATTATTAGCAAAGAAAATTTGTTTTCACAGATAGAAAGAGACATGAATGGACGAGCAATAAAGTGGAATACTTATTTTTTTTGGCGTTGAAAGTCTAAGCAGAACCCTAAAAGGGTCTATATCATTTATATTGATGATACGGTTCTAAACTGAGCAAAATTTAAGCATACCCTTTGACTACTAATACTTTCAAGTACGGACAGCGGGTCGATTACTTTTCGGGTAGTCTTATCCATAACAGGTACTTTAAGAAGTCGTTCAGCTTCATGTATATTATAATAATCCAAAATTAATCTTTTCCGTGTCCCCGGAGATTTAAGTACCGATTTTTTTCAGAATAAAAACAGGCTGAGTGCACGCTGAGAGCTCCGTGCTAATATTTAATTCTGATATATCCAGTAATCTAGGGGTAATGAATGATTTTCTATTTCATACCTTTAAAAAATCGCATATGTTGCGTTCTATTATTTTTACTTATATACTTATTTTAATATCACTAAAATAATAAAATTAACAAATAATATAGAAACGAAAATATCACAAAAGGTTTATAAAAAGTGTTAAAACTTTTAAAAATGGAACTGATTCATTAGTTCTATTTTTTATTATCTAGGTATTTTACAAAGAAAGTCGGCGAGCTTAAAAGTGACTTACACACGGATAGACAGACAAAAGTGTGCTCCAATAAAGATACCGTTCTTTTTTTACGAAATCATAAAAAGAATAATGGGTCGTTAAGGCACTCAAAATATTCAATATCAATTTATAACTTTCGAGCAATAAAAAAAGATTATATAGGTACAATACATAATAAACTTTAACGTTAGATTAAATTTTTATTAGTGGGCAGGCAACAAGGCAGGTTAACCACTGTTCTCTGAAGATTCTCCTACAAAGATTTTTTATTACTACGAGTAAATTATCGGCTTGAACCTATAATTTTGTACTTCCATTTTTATAACGACCTCATTTTTGAAGAGTTTATAATCTTTACAAAGGAGCTCGATGGCGCAGTTGTTTGCTCGCTCGGTCTGCAATACGGTTATTAAGAAACTTTCACAATGACCGTTCATAGGATGGGTGACCAAATATATATTTTCTAGCAAAAAAAGCCGGACTCGGTTGCATCTGTAGTGATAATACCCACCGACACACACAGGAACCGCATGTTTCGTCATGGCCCATTCTCCCTGTGGATATGATTCGATACCATCCATAGGGAAATTCTGAACCCCAGCAGGGGAACATTAATAGGCTGACGATGATGAAAATATTTCGGAAGAAATAATTTTACCAACATCGAAAAATTACAAACTATTAATTAATCTAAATAGATATATATAACTCAAAGATGACTGACTGACATAGTAATCTATCAACGCACAGCCCAAACCACTGGACGGAACGGGCTGAAATTTGGCATACAGGTAGATGTTTTGACGTAGGCATTCGCTAAGAAAGGATTTTGATCAATTCTACCCCCAAAGGGATAAAATAGGAGATGAAACTTTGTCAATTTTAAACCGATCGGGCTGAGACTTTGCATGCATAAAGCTTCTATGAGGTAGGCCCCTAAGAAAGGATTTTGATAAATTCCACCCCTAGGGACATAAAATAGGGGATGAAACTAATTTCAGGTATTTTACACGATATAATTAATAAATATTCGTTAGAAATGCTGCTTAAAGTAACTCTACCACGCAGATGAATTCGCGGGCAAAAGCTAATCGATAATAAAAACATAAAAATTTTGCTATGTTATGTATGCTAATATGTAAGTAACTTCATAGTCTAATAAACTCACTATCCAATTGGACTGTATGAAATAAAACAGTGAGAAAAAAATACTAATATGTAAGTAACTTCATAGTTTAATGAACTCACTATCCAGTTACCCACCGTAGATTTACGAACCAATACAGCTTTCGACTTTCACAAGTGCTTATAACAGACTAAATTGAATTTACAATATCGAATTGAATAGTTTTGGTGAGGAAATAGACTTAATACATTTGAACTTATATGTTTTTAAGATACACACTTTGATCTGTTTCACTATTTCAAGCGTTGAACGCAGCGGCGATCACAGCGCTATAGCAGCATTACAGATTTACACATAATAAAACTATTGCGGATCTTCCTGGATCTTGAACAGATTTACACGTAGCTAGCCGATGCTTGGACTGTATAATTGAAACTTCCTTCGATGGTTTTCACTTCTTCTTTATTCTTAAATCTTGAGGGCCGGAGAGCTTACAAATTTCGCTCAAATCGACCCGTCTTACATTTGTTGGGGTGGCTCGCACTTAGCTCCGTATATTATCAGTTGGTTAGCCTATTACACATCTAACTCCTACTTTGCGAAGCCATCCCCCACCCTTAACATCTATGTATCACATTATTGTTAA